GTGGAGGACATGCACCAGAGCTGTGTGTATGGTTGATGGACATGTTTGAAGCGACAAGGCTGAAAATGGTTTTCACTGCTCTAACATAACAACAGTTTTGGACAAAGATCATTGATCACAGGCCTCTGCTCTCCGTCGTGGAGGGAACAGAGTGATTTTCACCAAAGTCTGAGAGAAACATGCAACAGGATGTGGGCTCTGATTTGTTTTCTTTTTTACTTGTTTTATTTTTTAACTAACTACCAGGATGTGGGCTCTGATTTGTTTTCTTAGTATTTTTTAATTAACTATCAACACAAGAAAATAACACAAAAAAAACAGAGATTATTTTCAGACTGAAAACTGATTTGCTGTTTAATTTGTTTTCTGGTGCAGTATTATGCATGTACCTTGACAAATACTTTGTGATTTATTTCTTAATGCACCTTTATCTAGATCAGATTATATAGAGTCAGATTTTGTTTAGTAAGTTATTTCTTAATGCACCTTTATCTAGATAGGTTTTAGGAAACCTGGTCAGATTTTGTTAGGTTTAGTAAGCTTTTAGCTGTTTAGACAATCTTTCTGTCTAGATTTGATTTAAATGTTTGAATTCCTTTTTTTTTTTATGTTTTCGCTTACTCTTAGCTTGTGGAGGCTAATGTTAAGATAATAATTATTAAACCCTTTTCCTGGATGCTCCTAACTTGAAAATATACGTAATTTTGTATAAAATATTCAATATGCTGTTGGGTTTTTTTAGGCTGCACATTTTAGCATTTTTTTCCTAACAAGACTCTTCTTTGTGTGTTGATGTTAATGCAATTTGGACTCATTTCTAAATAATTTAGACGACGTTAATCAATTCCCACTCTGTTTGGAGTCAACAGATTAAATTGTTGACTCGACATTGAAAAACAAGACAAAGAGATAAGTTTTCTAATGCTGTTTTACCATAATGTATGTACAAAATGCACAGGGAAATCTGGACATTTTGAAGAACTTTTGTCAAACTGGAGAGGAGTTTATCATATCACACTGTTCAACCTTTTATTGAAGAGCAAAGTGAACTCACTGTCACTGTGACACAGCACACAACCAAATGTGACCTCTGTTTTTAACCCATCACCAAAGTGAACAGTGGACAGCAGTGTGTGGGGATGGTGGTAACTTGGCAGCTGGTGGACTCGAACCTGAAACCTTCCGGACCCAAGTCCGCTTCCTTAACCACTAATCCACCACTGCTCCCCCTCCTCCTTTTTTAAAAAGATGATTTTATTTATTTATTTATTACCTTTGATAAAGTGGAACTTCTTGTTTCAACTTTGATACACAGTCATGATCATGAATCACAGGAACTTTTCTTGGAAAAGTTGATTTCCTTCTTGGACACTGATGTTCACCAGAACTGATCTGCTGGCTCAACATCCCTGCATTCTTTCTCTAACCACATGTCTCTGCTGGTAATTTTGTTCTATGTCCGATCAGCTCAGCAGCTGCCACAGGGAGCAGAGCTGATGAAACACAGCCACACACTGTAAAGTCAGGTGTCGTCCTATCATCTACAGACGAGGGCAAACGTTTTGACTCACGAGCCACAATTGTCCTCAAACTAAACAGGGGGGGATCAGGAGCAGAGAGATGGAGCGTTAGCGTAAACTAAGATAAATGACATGTAAAAGTCATGCATAAAGGCTAAAATGCTTTTATCATTTTCTATGCCATCTATTGGGGAAACGGGAGTATTGCAGGGAAAACGCAGACGTATAATGATAACTTTTAAATAAATTAATATAATTTGGAATAGTTTGGTGGGCTGGATTAAAAAGCTGAATGGGCCGTATCCGGCCCCCGGGCCTTAGTTTGCCCATGCCTGACTTACTGTACGAGACATTACCACAGAAAATACTTCGTTTAAAAAAAATATATCCTGGACTTCATGGACATATCTGAGTGAATATTTCAGCAACAACTGAACCCACGTGAGATCAATTAAAACCAAACAATCAAAACATTTCCATCTTCATCTGTTTTTCCCATTAAAACTGTTTCCTGTTTCTACAGCCGTGTTTCAGGCAGAGTGAAGCAGAGAGAACTTAACTGTTGGACAGACGACGGAGAATTAGGTGTTTCATTTGATGGAGTTTTTTGTCCTATGTTTCCAGGTGGAGGCGGAGGCTGGAAAGACACTCAGAGTCCACACCTCAGAGCAGGGAAGTCTCTGGTGGAGGGGGCGGAGGGGGGGTCGTCATGTCCGTTGGCTCTGTCCAAACTTGATTGGACAACCTTTGGTGGTTTTGGCGGCGGAGGCGGGGCCTGCACTGCTGGAGGTGGAGGAGGAGGCTTCAGAGGTAAAACCACTTGTCTTGATGATTTTCCTACTGTCAATATTTTCTCGTAATTTTCTGGAAACCACTGGACATAACAACCATCGGATTCCGTCTGTTGTTTTTTTTTTTTCCCCCACAAGCCAGGGTTGTACTGTATTGGAAACATCTCTGTAAAAACATCTTTAAAAATGTCCTTTGTGGATTGCGTAACAGGAGGTGACGCCGCGCTGACGGATGAGGTCACCGCCGATGGTCAGAACGGAGTCTCGTTTGTTCATCCAATGGGAGAGATTTTCCTGCAGCCACTGGCAGGTCAGACCCCGTCTGAATCACAGCTCCACCGCATTATTAATTATGAACATGTAGTGGATTATTTACACCAGTAAATAACCCCGTGACTAGTAATATTTTTGATTCAAAGTCATATAAGAAGCTTAGAGTTTTTTTTTGCTTTTAGCAGTAAACATTCTGCCATCAACCACATTATGTTAAAGGTTAATGTTGACTGAGTTAGCCAGGTTTCTTGCTAGCTAACATTGGCTAAAGGTTAAAAAACAAGATAATTAAAAGCAAAGTTAGCCAGGTTTCTTGCTAGCTAACAAGATAATTAAAGCATACCAGCAGACTTCAACTCTTATTTTGGACTAATTTAAAACATTTGGAGTTTTTTTGTTTTTTTGTTTTTTTTGTCTTAAATTGCTGTCGTAGCGAATTGATTTTTCTTGGCTAATGAGTAGCTAATTTCTGACTGGCTTTAATCTGTGTACATGGAAATCTGAAACAGCAGTCTGCCTCGAAGCTTTTTATGATTCATTCTTTAGCTCCATATGACGTTAACTAGCATGCACCTGGCTAACAAATGATAATAACATATGAGAAAAGTTATGAAGGCTGTCTTTGATACAGAAACCTAACTTTCTGGTTTGGGCCTTGGCAAAAAAAATTACATCTTGCACGGCATTAAGAGGTGGTAACAAAAAATTGAAGGGCATAGAATAATATTATGATCGGCAACACAACAAGTCAAGTTGACAGTTTTTCTGACTTCAGCTAATTAGCATTAGCATTAGCATTGGCTCAATCTCCATAAAAAGTTCTGTGTTTGGGTTAGTAAAAGAAAAGCTTTAGAAGTACATATTTTATTAGCTCAACACTGAAGTAATCGTCTGAGGTTTGGAAACTCAACAGTTGCATCATTGGCTTTAAAAAAGACATGAAACACTTTAGCGGTGAATTGATCTGGAGGCACAGAGACCCAGAAGGTGAAGCTCAAATCCCAAGTTATTGGGATTTTTATGACTACCTTCAAACTATTGATCCAGACGTGGGTGTGTGTAAGTTGTGTGTGTGTGTGTGTGTGTGTTTGAGAGAGAGAGAGAGCGAGTGAGAATAACTACCAGCAACCATCTGCTTCTCATTAGTTTTTGGGAGGAGGAGGAGGGGGGGGGGTGGTACGGCCTAATTGGCAGCCTCGTGCAGCCTGTTGCCTTCGGCAGCACGGGACAAAGATCCACTCTGCTGTGAAAGATCCTGTTGTTGCTGCTGCTGCATTCACTGCCAGTCCGACACAATGGCTGCGGCTGTGACATGAAACACACTAAAAAAAAAAAGGAAAAACAAACGGCCGCATCGTCACGAGTTCGACAAATTTGTTTTTCTCTAATTCAATTGAGTCATCATTTTAAGCGCTCTATTATTGCATTACACACAAATACACGCTCATCAGTTTGATCACAAATACTTCAGCACAACATCCACAGTACACTGATGGTTGTACTTCTTAGTTTACTTTGTCCTACATTACTGCGTGTACACAGGACAGGAATTTGACCACACATTTCTGAAATATTTGTTAGTTAATAGATTTATATTTCAAATAAAAATATATTTATTACATTTTTAATTATATATATATATATATATATAATTTTATTTTATTTATTGAGAATACTGCCACTCATTATCATTATCCTGACTTTTTTAAAGAGAATCCGAACCTCGATCTCCCTTTGGAAAATGTACATTCACATTTATGGCTGAAAAACAGAACCAAAACTTTGATCTCAGAATGTAGTAAATTCTAGTAATTATTTAATTTTGCTGCAGCTTAAAGTCTAATCAAAAAACTTTAGAGGAGGGGTGTGGCTAAAAATCAGATTCCCTCCTCAGGGTGTCTTTAAGGAAGTGTTTTTTAACCCCCAAATTCTGACGTAACATCTGATTTAAACCTGGGAGTTCTAAGGAAAAGTTTAAAAAAACAAACTTTAAAATATTTTCATTTAAATCCAGTGTTTTGATTTCAGAGATCAACGTCAAAAGTCCAACTTTGATCTCATGGTGCATCAAAAGAAAGAATTCAGAGAATAAGAACTTCAAAGTCAAAAAGGTCTTTTTAGCCCTGAATTTGGAAAACATCAAATACGATTTCATTTTAGAATTTCAGTCACAAGTCTATGACTTTAAAATGTTTCTGTAAAAATTAATTGCAATAGTTGAATTCAAAGTGCAATTCTTTAATAAAAAAAATCTAGATTCTAGGGAACAAAAAAAAATCCCAAATTCTGATCATTTCTATAAAGGAAGAATCTGTTCCTAATCCCTGTTTCCTGAATCTGTTCAGTGTTGAGAATTCAAACTCAGTGTTTAATCCGACGGAAATTGGACAGTTTCTGTCCGTTACGTGATTCCAACTCAAACACACCATTTCTCATCATCAACAAACATGTCGGCCATTAATGAGTTTTTAACTGTTTTTGAAAGACAACAACTTGGTCTCTTGGCTCAGTCAGACACGTTTCTCTCTGACTTTCTACCCCCCCCACCCCCCGTGTCATTAAACGTTGCAGACTGAACGACCTCTCTTTCAGACTAACACTTTGTGTCTGGGCTGTGTGTTCTGTCCTGGCACACACACAGACACACAGACACATCCGTCTGTTCACACACCATCTTTTTTGTCCGTGCAGCCATGGAGAGCCACGGGGAATGTGAGATCAAGGTGCAGCTGAACTGCAGCCACTGTCAGACGCAGAGCTGCAGACGAGACGAGGAGACGCACCTCCTCCTGTGTCTGTGTGACGAAGGCCAGCTCCTGGCCAGTGACAACATCACCTGCGTTGATTCTGTTGGTATGTTATCATTTCATGTCACAAATAAGGAATCTGAACCTCGTGGTGTAAAACATAAGGTCCTGGGTCCTCACGCAGGACATTGACAGTTTCTGTGTGGCCTTTAGTTGAGTTGTTGTCACGTGCCTTTACCAAATTAATTTTTAATCTTCTTTTTTTTTTACTTTAGCTTGTTTTTTTAACTAGCTATATACGCCATTTATTTGCAAATTATTTAAATTGTGAAGTAAATTTTGTTACTTTTTTTTGTGCTCCAAAAATGAAATCCTTTTTTTACCTTTGAGCGATATTTGATTTGATTTGCAAAACTTTGGGAACTTTTAGATTTTTTTTCTGCTTACCTCTAGACATAAAACATCCAATTATTAAAACATATCATATACTTAAAATTTTGACAGTTATTAGCTACTTCTTTGCTTCTTTTCTGTACCCTGTTGGATTAAATCGACCTGTCTAGCTCGTTTACATTTTTCTTAGCTTTTAGCTACTTTTATAAACACTGCTCCAGTTCTCGTTTTGCCTTTCTTCATTGTCACATGTATGATTGTGTCTTCGTTTACTGTTACTTACGTTTACTTTACAGATTTCACCTTTTATTTAGTCCCTGTATTTACTGTACTGAACGTTGAGAACTCATTTATCCTGAACTAAAACTGTGTTTGAAATTCATTGCATGTGTGTGCGTCACTGATTCAATATAAAGTCAAATGAAATACTCCTGGTGCAAACTATCGACCTCCTTCTTCCTCTGCTTTTCTCCCAGCGACTCCTAAGGGTCCGGCTCCGCAGGGTCAGATGTCTACGTTGTTGGTCGTGGCCGTGGTCGTCTCCACCATCGCCAGCGGCGTCGCTCTGGTCTGTGCCAGCGTCATCCTCAGTAAGCGACTCCTTCAGTTGTGCGTGCAGTCTGTTCCCTCCACATTCCACCGGCTGTGAGCTCTAGTCACCGGACGTGCGGGTGTTTCCAGATGTTACTGGCAGCAGACACGTCCGTGTGTT